AGATGTAGATCACCCTCACAATCCAGATACTCGTGTTGACCCTTACCGGATACCTCGAACAGATGATCGGCTCCATCCATTTAACTTAGCTTTTTCTTGCAGTTCTCAAAAAAATTCACGCGCTATTACTCTGTCGATATCAGGCAACGTTTGCAATTTGCTCCAAAACGCTTCGTTTTATATACGTGCCTAATGAACCCTCATAATATTTTAAGCCCTCTTGTTGTGCTGGCTCTAAATTGGAGRTAACTGCTCTGAGTTTATCGATCACAGCATGGGCGACCACTTCCTTATTGGACCGTATGCAGGTGAAGCCCCCTTCAATTTCATCCGTGGGCTGCATCATATCCAAATCGCGCGTTAGCTCAAATATTGCATTGTTCTGCTTGCCGTGACACCACTGTGCGCCCAATTCCACGACATTGTCCGCAAAGGGCATGGTGTTTATGCGTCCACCAAAACGATTCTCGGCCTCAAGCAGCAAAACGTTTTCGAAGCCGGTCTCCAAGAGACTTGTAGCTGCAGCTATGCCAGCCGCGCCAGCACCAATAATCACAATACGCTTTGATTTCATGACTTTCGCTTTCGTTCACCCACCGTTATACGATTATTGAACTTAAGAGGTATCGAGCTACACCGTTGTTTTCAATTCATGCGCTTTCAGTTCAGCGCCCACAGAGCAACTAACTTTAGGCGACGCTGTTCACACGTTGAAGTASTCATCTCAACCGTTGTTGTGTTAAACTTTCTGATAATGAATATCGAGGCAGTAATGAAATGTTTTAGTTCGGAACTTACAGTGTGAGAGATTGTGAGAGAATTACAACTAATGATATAGAATTAATGTTCGTCTTGAATGTGCGTAAAAATTGCTGATAAGGAATAATATGTTATATATAGTTAGTTTAATATATCATTAATGCTTTGTTTTAAACGTTTAAAGATTGATATTTACTACGGTCAATTATTTTGGAAGTGTGATTTTAAAGTAAAAAATTTTACTCAGAAACACGAGTATGTTCATGCAACGTGATAAAAGTTGCTTTGCGACTCTGTTCAAACCGTCCAAACGTCTCTGCAGAAATCGTTTAAGTGGAATTCGCTGATTTACTTATTTAAGAGTTTAAGTTCATTTACGCGAGTTCTATGGGTTACAATGATATAAACTACATTACATTACATAACAATAAAAAYAAACTAATACAAAAAGCAATAATAATTTTAAAATAAAAAATTAAATATCTTTGTAATGAAAGGTCCATACTTATGCGGTCCTTTCAAATTCAGTTTTCAGTATTTAAATCAGGGAATTTAAAGCTATATATAAAAACAGAGACATTATATTTTTTTCATTCACATTTTGAGGTTATACTAACTAAACGTAAYAGCCTTTACTAGTTGATTAAAAATCGTTTGAAGATGTGCTGATTTTATTAGTAAACAATGATATGTAAACCTGCCAAAGCAGAGTAAGCGAGTGAATGACTGATCGACTATTAATAACAGCGAGTGCGTACACTTTGATGGATCGCTGCAGAAACTCGAGAATAATGGAAGAAAGCAGACGTTACTGCAACTACTACTATAATCACTTGCTGCATTGGCTGTCATGCATGTCACAATCATTCACTCAATAAACCCACTTTCCGGCTGTCACTCAGCGTAGCGTACATACATACAAATATACAGTTACTATGCGAGCGATGGTCATACGAGGGTGAAATAAGCAGCTACGTCCATAAATACTCGAATTTTTCCTGAATCAACAATTCCAAGTATTTTATTTACCCACTCAATGACAAGAGTCAGCTTGTGAGGAAATGCACACACACACCAGCACACCTAAATGTGAATGTCATAAGTGTGTAGTGAAATGATTTACCGACAAAAATGATTAGATACCAGCAGATAGCCAGACAGAGCTGAGTTGACACAAAGGATGTGGACGCAAAGGTTGTTCAAGTGAATAATCACAGAAGACACAGAAGATGGCAAATGATTGACAAGCGTAACGACGGAATGCTTGTTGATTGTCCATAGTGGCGGGCGAGCAGGTGGACGAAGCAGGAACAAAGCCATAAGGCTGTTAATAATTCATGAGTTTTGACAAGAAATTATCACAGACATTGGGCGAAGCCGTCGGTCAACGAACTGCGATTATATAAGTGGCATACATACATACATAGAGCAAAGCAAATACGAACTAAAGTAGAGAAAAGAATGAAATATGAGAAGGTTATTCAGAAAAAAATATATTAATTATTATCATTGTTCCAAATGCATTTAATTGAAGGGAACATAAAACTACGAAATTCAATTTAGATGAGGAGGCAGGAAGATTACAATTTTTCGGGGAATAACTCATTGTTAGCAAATGACTGTAGAAATATTTATAACAAAAGTACTCAGCTTCACTAATGTTATTACGATGYTTCATTTCAAATTGTTTGTTTGTTTTTTTCTTGAAGATTATTTCTGGGATTGAGATACATACATATACAKATATGTGAGATGTGTTACTTTTTAAATAATAATATAACCTTCTATTGTTAGAAGTAACCAATATGGTAATAATAAAAACGCTTTGGATTTTGAGGTGTCTACTTTATTACGAGCACAAGTATTTCAGTGGCACAAAGTGTTCAATGGAGTTCGGGAAGTCGTCAAAAACTTGTCTCATGCGAGTCAKCCATCCACCTCTGYTAAGGGCGATAACWTCGAAATAGTTAAAGAAACAGAACTTGAAAATCGTCTTGTTGGGAACAGAAAGATGGAAGAGAAGCTCTATAAAAAACGCAATAAAAGACCTGAAACTGTTTGTTATATAGGATAGGTTCATAAAACCTTTATGAATCGACAAAGTGCTGGTAGCCTATTCTAAATTTGTTGAGGCGACTAGTCTGGTTCGTCGAGATGTTTAAATCTCAGTCTTGCAAATACTGGACAATGTAGGAGTTGGCGACTGGGTTTTTACTTCACTCTTCTGCACACAACTTTGATAACCAGCAGTTGCAGCAAGATCAACTATGCCAAGGGCAAGTAGTCCACTAATAGAATGAAAGTAGCTCGCAGTCGCAAAGAAGCAGGAGATGTGTATAAGAGACAGCTTGCAAATACTGGACAATGTAGGAGTTGGCGACTGGGTTTTTACTTCACTCTTTTCCACACAACTTTGATAACTAGCGGTTGCAGCAAGATCAACTATGCCAAGGGCAAGTAGTCCACTAATAGAATGAAAGTAGCTCGCAGTCGCAAAGAAGCAGGTCGTCGACCAAAGCTTGCTAAGCATACGAGAGGTTCACAACGCGCCTCCTCTGCCTACCTCACCGACTTTGCAGTTGCCAGCGATTTTGAGATGACGTGGAATTAAAATGAGTCTGATAATGAAGTAGCTTGATGCTAAATCTAGTGAGGACAGAGAACACCCCACCAGATTTGAACGCACAGTGAACGAGTTTTGTGCTAGTATTGCCACTCTGTTGTCGCAGTYATTTCTTACCTCCCTGAAAGAKSCTGCACTTACTAGCAGTATGTTTACCATCACGCTGATAGCAACYACTTCTGCCTGAAAAACACTGCAGTGGTCCGATAGCCTAAAGCTAAGATTGACGGAGAGCACCTTAGAAAAAACTCTTTCTTCAACTTTTACTGCTATCTGCGAGTAGGAATCAAATTTGATTGCATGATGATTCTTTTTACCATTTCGAAATATCCTTTGCTTCCATGAGCTTCGGAAAGTGCAGCTGTCGGATCACTTATTAAACATATAGTCCCTGCGGTACTTGTACAACTYGTTAAAATTGCTTAAAGGAATTGAATAAATCCGGTGAATTTTTGGAAATGTATCCTGCTGTGAGCTTAAATCATAATGTCTACTCATAAATACTTACTCTTGAAGACATTATCCAATGAAAACACAATTTGCGAATTTTTTGTTTAAAATATACATTCGCCTTTTATTGAAATGAACAATATTTTTCGTCATATCGAAATTATAGACTAAGTGAATAACGGTTAAAAGGAATAACGTATATGTGTGCTACACAAACACGCTTCATCAATCATTTTGATGAGTGAACTAAGACACTGCACTGAARGAAATATTGGAGTTTCGAAACCGAAAAACTAATAATAAATGCTTACAAGTATGCATTTGCTAATCATTTTGCGGATGCCAGGCACCCTATTAGTACAYATAGATACACAGAATATAGATTATGTATATATAGATATGTAGTAGTTTAGATTTCATTCGGCATAAGCAGCTGCGTGGGCAACCACAAAAAATACACACTTGAATACTCGGCTTTTTCCAATTTCATTTTTTTTTTGTTTTGCCCATCCGCCATCTCTCCGCTTCTCTTACATGGTTTTGAAAAATGTCACTTTCTTTTTGTTTGACCCAAAAAACAGCAGCTTCTCGAACTCAGTTGTCTTTGTACGTAAGTGTATACGTTGAATATATTGCCAATACATGTACAATATAAATACATATAATGCTTATACATACATACAAATATATAATTAACGTTTTTACAATTCATACTCAATAGCAATTGTTGTTGCTCYTATAATGCATTTACAATTTTCGTTTAGACAATTTAGATCAGTTTACGCTCAAATTGCAGGCCAACAACTCTCGGCTGGTTGTAAGAGAAAATTCCATTTSGTTTCTCAACTTCTAATTGATGTGTGTTTACCGAATCTAATTAAATTGTAGTTTTCAATAGTCTCACTTATCACTACTCGTTTTTACAGTTATCTTAGATTTATTTCTTAACGTGCAACTACATAATTTTGTTAATTTTTGTTTTTTTTTGGCGTTATTTTATCTTTTAAATTTGCTGCTTCTAGATTTATTTGTTTAACCTACATTTATTTAATTAGATTAGTGTTTTTAGTGTTTCAATTGTTTATGTATAGGCTTGCTCGCAAAAATATTTACTTCTTCTTTAGTTCTTTTGTGCATTTTATTAATATTTTTTTAGTTTTTAGTTGCTTTTCCATTTAATAATAATATTATTTTTTCTTTTGCCTTTTTCTTTTTCTTTTTATTCAATTAATGTYTATACATCTTCGCTTAGTACTTATGTTTTTATGTAAATTTTCGAATTATCACGTACACACATGTGTAACAAAATACAGTTATTTGTGTATTTGTTGTAAATTAGCTTATTTTTATATTCACCCAACCGATTTCTGCTTTCATTCTATATATTCATTGAAATTAAAATGTATTGTTTCAAGGTTTCGATCGTATCCATCTCTCTTTCTCTCTCTATCTGAAGACCTCGAAATTTATGTTGTGCTAAAATAGCACTCAGAAATTGTAATTAAATTCCCATTATCATATATCCATTTCAAAAAATATTACTATGAGCTTAGTAGTGCTTTGCGATTTCAACAATGGATAAAAATATCGAACATAGAATTTGAGTATGGCAAAATATCTCTCGCGAGTGCTTTCGAATGATCTTATAGGATATTTGGGGTATGAAGCACGTTTTTGCTCGACTCGACCCGATAACGCTGAATTTTTTTTTTCAAAAAGAGTATCGTAAACGTAAACAAGTCTCTTGGGACATGTGTGATCGTGCGAATTCCTATCTCACATTCATGGATATCATTATACCGAAGAGACATGGGTTTATGAGTTTGACACGTAAAAAAGTGAGCAATCATCGGAATGAACACGTTCTCAGTCGTTCGAAGAGATAAAACAAACTTCGCTAAAGGAGCGGAAAGCCATCCTAAAATGTGAWTCGAGGACCGGAAAAGTCGTTGACATAAGTGTAGTACATTTGGTGGGGATTAAGTGGAGGGCRTAAAAGGAAATATTGATGTATATTTATTTACAGTTTTCGGGTAGTTTTTGTTACCGCATCTACAGATTAAGTGCCCTAAATTCCCTGCAAAAGATGCTCAAAATATTTGTTATCGTATTATATTATTCATAAGTTGAAAGAAAAAATATATACTATTTGCCATAAATGTAGTATGTATAAAAAACTCAGAATTATAGCAATGAAGATATGTAGGATTCTGGTACAGGATATGTTTCTTAGTCGAGCTCCAATGCTAACTATAGTATAACTTTATGAAGACTGTGTAAAAAGGGTATGGAAGTGGAAAGAAAAATTGGTCACTAAAGTTGGTGATGCTTGCTAYTAAAACTCAAATTTCTTTTCATACCGAGTATTCACAAGTCTTAGATGGAAACTAATTCCAATACATATTCGACGCTGAGGGGATTGCACAGTCATAGAACTAGATTTTAGTTTACATTTTGTAATTCGCTAAATGGAATATGTGCTGGGCTGACTCATTCCAGATTTATAACGAGTTCATGATACTAATAATACCACTAGAATGACTCTGCGGTTTTTTTGGTTAAGCATATTTTGGTAACGTTCTTTCAATATGCTGTGTAATTTCCAAAATTCCCGGTTTCCACAATTTTTTTTTCTAATAAATATATGTACTTATATGTAGTTCTACAACACAAAACGAACTTCATAAAAACAAAGAATATTTGAAACAGAAAAAATGGTGACACAGAACAGATGTAAACTTAATGCTGAGCACACGGCTTACTTCTCGCTCTTTTTTCAGTAATTTCGTCAATTTATTTGCTTTGGTGTTCGGTTGTGTTGTCTGTCCGTTGTTGTGACAACTTTTACACGATAACTTGTTTGCTTTCTYTTTACTCCTCGCTCTTTTCCAAAACTGTTTTGTTATTATTGTTGGTGCAACTGTGTTTTTACACATTGTCCGAAAAAAATTGCATGAGATTTTTTGGTGAGGCGCGGGAAATTAAAAATTTATTTGCTTTGTGATATGCAAAAATTGCAACGKTTGTTGCCGGTCGCTTTGAGTGTTCAACCGCCGGTGCGTCGGTGTATCAAAGTTTGTTTGTCTGTCGGTATGCCTTCATTGCTCGGTTTATCCTGCCAATGCACTCCACTAACTCACCGGTTGTCGGCTGGTGCGTGCTTCGTCCTTTATGCGCCTTTCGTTCGATATTCGTGTCACATACACAYCCACATACACACGCTCGCATATTTCATWGCTTATTTTTTGTTGTCGTTCATTTGCTGTAAAGAGTCTCCTGCACTTTTTGCTTGCAACGCGTCGCATAATTTTGTTGTTTTTACACCGGTTTATCAGTTTGCCGCCGCAATTTATTTACGAAGTGCCCACTTGTATGCCCATCGCCAACACACCACCAGCTACGTCCTTCGCCGTTATTGTCCCGCTGTGGCTGTGTCGTTTCGCTCCCTGGTTGGTCTTTTTCCTCTTGCYTCGCCCTTTACGTGGCGGCCACCGTTGACGGTGCATTTGTGGTGCCCGTCTGCGTTGTTATGTGCTGCGTTRGCGTAGCGCATGCAACTCCGGTTGCTGTTGTTGTTGTTGTTGATGCTGCTGTTCGCCCATCTGTTCCAGCCAAAGATGTTGTTGCAGCTGCGGCTGTGGATGCGTCTCATGCTGCTGTTGGTGAAGATGATGTTGGTGTTGATGTTGGTGTTGGTGTTGATGTTGGTGTTGGTGTTGATGTTGGTGTTGGTGTTGATGTTGATGGTGATGGTGATGGTGATGATGCTGACGATAGTTTGGTTGGTGGTGATGATGTGTGTAATGTGGTGACCAATGTGCGTCTGGCTCTGTTGCCATTGCAAACTGCCGCTCCTGATAAYGCAAATTTTTCTCAAACTTCCACTGCRTGAGTTGTTGATCTTCTTGTTGTTGTGGCTCTTCAAGTGTGCTCTGCTGCTCTACGTCRCGCTCGTTCGGCTTTTCGACGCGCTTGCTCTGGGTAACGGCACCATTATCGTCGCTTCCATCGTCGTCACGGCTATAAAAACCGAAACCGGCAACAGCTTTACTTTTATTCGGTAGAGCAACACTTTCCACGCGCCGCATATTGTCATTGTTGTTGCTGTTGAGTTCACTGTTCGCACGCTTGCTGTCAATTGTATCCATATTGCCGCCCTCCCCCYCCTGCTCCTCTTCATAGTTGCTGTTAATGTTATTACTTTTGTAGTTGTTGTTGTTCGTTTGGTCTCTCTGTTCGCTTTTTTCCTCTGGATTGCTGCGGTGTGGCGGCAACATGGCCGGATACGGTATAATGTCTGGTTGCAGTTCACCCGAMGACGACACTAAATGCCCTTGCTGGGAGGTTTCTTCCTCTTCCTGCTGTTGCTGTAGTTTTTCTTGTTGTTGTTGTTGTACATAGCGATTATCGCTGTCATTGTCCGTCGCAATGTTTTGCTCGTCGCTGTTTGCCATGTTTCCCATGTTATTGCCACCGCCACTTACGTTGGCATTGTTATTCTTGTTGTTGCTCTGGTTATTGCCATTATTGTTGTTGCTGTTGTACGCATAGTCATTGTTATTGCGTGCCGTTTCACTGATAATATTTGTCGCCACATTTTTATTATTTTTGCGGTCACTAAGGGTGGCACTTGTGCGCCAACTATTAACGGTATTTCTGCTGCTGCTGTTGCTACTGTTGTTGTCGCTGCTGCTGCTGCTTTGTGCGCTTTTGTGGCTATTGCTGGTGCCATTGTGCATTGTTGTCGTGTATTTGTGCAGGTTGTTGCAATTTTCCTATTCAACCGAATTGTCGCAACAATGGGCGGCAATGAAGAGAAGAAGAGAAGAAAGAGAGAATAGACAGTTAAAATTGTGTTTGGCATTGTGTTTAATTTCAACAGCGAGTAATSGAAAAAATGAGAATAACATTTTTATAGCTTCAATCGGCTAAATCGACTAAATAATTCTCATCAGCAAATACAATCGAATATATATGTACGTGGGTATATATGTATAAATGTGTACTTATAACAGTGTGTTCTAATATGTACGTGCTCAATTTGGCTTTTGCTGTCATTTATATTAATCGTAAAAATTGATTGGCCGTAAAATTTGAGACTAGGCGGGAAGGAAAAYAAGTCCCAGGCGWTTTSTATTCTTGTTTTTTGCTATAAGCAYTTCTTTTTTTCATTTCTGAGTACTTAAGCGGTAAAGGATTCGACATTTTATGACTTTTGGAACCAGTTAGGTGCTCAATTGATTCGTAAATAATATTGATCAACTCAAACGACACACACGCCGAAATAGTSTTTTGGTTCGTACCATAGAAATTCTAAAAATATATGTTTTTCATGAAATTCGATAGTCTTCGATGTAATTATAAAACCAAAAAGATCATCGTTAATCTATATATAGTAAAACTTAAGAAGCAACATAAATGTGAAACTCGCCACTGAACTATTTATTACTCTGAGGTGGTTGGTTGTGAAAATAAAAGCAGTTATTTAAAATTAAAACACAAAATTTCATGCAAGAACTTAAATCTAATAGTTCAGWTTCCACTGTTCCTTTGATCAATAATTCACGGTAATTTTCGTGAAGATACCTCGTTAAATGAAAAAGTTTTTCCTACAAGCACTTTCTGTTTATATGGCAGCTGAATACTATAGTGATCCGAAACTGCCGACGTGTGCAAGTTTTCAGATTGATAACTCAAAAACTGAAAGACTAGTTCGCGTATATACAGGCAGACGGCCATACCTAAATCGACTCGGTTCGTAATATTTTAGTTATGGAGTCATCGACAAGCTTCGAGGTAAACTTAATATACCCTTCATGGAATTAAAATATGTAATTATTGCATATCGCCTAATTTGTTTATGACATATCAACATAACGATGAGGAATCGTACAACAACCACACCTACTTCTTATAAAGTGTATCCTCATATCCAACCAGCTTCCTATAACTCGAGAAATTGTTAGATCGGAACTGTCCAAGAACACATCTCTATTCATATACATAAGTAGACTGTTACAATTTGACAGCGTCAATCAATAATTCGAAGAAATTGACTGCAACGTTCACAAGACTCTGTGCAGTTCCAATTCAACAACATTTGTGGTAAGGTTAACCGAATGTTTTAATTACATTTACCAATGCATTACAATACATTTTCATTAAGACCAGGTTGGGCTTTGTATATGTGTACGTTGCTAATTGTGCGCATATCAAGTAGATTATATCACCTGCATTAAATTGAGCTTGTGAGTTTTGGCAAAACAAACTTTGGCCGAATTAGAATTGAAAGCTCAATATGTTGTKACACGTAAGAGTAATCGCAAATGATCCTCAAAATTAATATTAATTACTTCCGTACTGTCTACATACTGATAACATTCCACACACACATGTAGACGTGTGTGTTGGTGTGCGTAAATTCAATCAAAATGCAGATTTACTAATTCGCATGCACATCTGTTTGCTCTGACTTGATGAGAGTACATACATACATATACACATATGTATGCAGTTGCAACTATACGACTTTCCACACTTTCAAATCCTGTTAATTTAGTTAACTTCGTGTGATTAGCAGTCGAATTATGCAGCTCATAAATCTGTGGGATTTTGCAAATTAGCAACRGATCAACTAATGAGTGACAGCAGATTTGCAATTTCCTGAAACACTCTCGCCTTTGCTGTCTGTCTGTCAAATGTAGTGAACGCGCTGCTCACATAAATGCCATCGCCGTATTAAATTTGCAATAATTTGTGTCTGTGTGTGGTGAGAGCTGAGATATTTACATTCTAAGTATCCAAGTTCTCAGCATAATAAGAGATTTGTTTTTGTGGATTAGCACATAGAAATCTTCCGGAGAAGTGTTTATGAAAGCTGTCTTTTATATTATATTTCGGTATTAAGATATATATGTATATACTTCTGCAAGCTTTTGACCAATTGTGGAGACTTTTCTGACATTGATTGAGATATATGATTGACTTTTTTTACTGTTCTGCAATACTTTAGAGGTATGATTGCGACATTTCCAGTTTTTCCAAAAAAAAAAAAAAAAAAAAAAAAAAAAAAAAAAAAAAAAAAAAAAAAAAGGAGGCAACCATTTGCTTGGAAGTGCTTCGTGCGCGAACAACTGTCGTCGACTGCTGTTTACTTTTGGGCTCATATGCATAAAGCCATGCTTCATCAACTGACCCGAGCTTATTTTTTGAGCGATTGGCTAACTGTCTGGCATCCGATGTGGACAAGAGTTTTTTACAGGCAAATGTTCTTGAAACATGGTGCCGCTGATGCCTATATTTGTCTTATCCTCAGGATTGGTCACGAGCCGATTATTCAATATCAGTTTRTGCACAGTATCAATAGTTAASACAACTAMATTTSATTTTTAAAGATCTTCACGAAATTCGTTTTGRTGTGGTCTACGAACTTGATTGAATTCACTATACCATCGAGATACACCGGTCCTTGATGGAGCTTCAGCATCAAAAATTGGATTAAGTTGATCGATGCATTGTTGCTGAGAAAATCCAGATTGTATAAACTAATCGCGCTAAAAAATCGCGATTTAATTCCATTTTTGGTTGAGAAGAATATTTAAATTACTTGTATGTCAAAAAGGTCTGAGTCAAATGAACGATAAAGTGGTGAGTTGCCAGATTGCAACACTAGGGCTGTAAGACCCCAAAATGAATATCCCAACCTCTGTATATTTGCTGTGTGAACTATATTCTAAATAATGTATTTTATACCCTCAGCTAGGGCTCAGGTAGTCCTAAGTAGTTAACCCGACCGAAAATATTTTTACACTACTTTCTAACTAGACCGCAACTAGTTCAATATTGTTTTATATAAAATTTTGTTTTATATTATTCTTCTGTGCTGAGCTGATTGAGAGAGATTCTTACATAGTTCACTAAAATAAAAATATAAATTTTTCGGAAAAACATTTTCATTTTGACTAACTAAATGTTTCTAATATTCCCTTCAATATTTGACTGCGATTAACATATATTAGTGTTTTTTTTATTGGATACCATTGGTTGTGCAATTAATTTCACTTTCACCTGAATATCTCGAAGCCTAATGAGGTTACATTTGAGTTGCAAATAGAAGTAAATACTGGTTCTTGCCAATTATTAGAAAATTGCTTTTGTCTTTCTGTGTTCGCACATTTGAAGAGAATTTTTGCTGGAATTTGCAAAAGCAATAAATTCCTGGAATATCATAATGAAGAGGTAATTTGTTTTGAAATTGATTATGAATTTAACGTTATACACATGTATGTATACGAGTATATACGTGATATAACTGTAAAGAGACGGCAAATTGTTGATTGTAGATTCAACTCAATCCGAATGTGTAGATTGGCGTTTTCGTAAGGATTAATATTGAAATGGTGTTTCGTTTACTTTCGGAAATAGTCAAATCACACATTGAGCATAAGGTCAACTGGAAAGTTCTTATATGGGATAACTCTCATTCCGATTTCACTCGTTTTGGGTCTAAATTACAATTACGGAGGTATTTAGGCATACTCACCTTTCTTAAGACTTCTAATAAACTGTATATAATATATGCTATAAAGCCATTCATTCGAAAAATATTATAATAAGTACACTAAGAACTAGTTCAGTACATTTTATGCACTTAGTTGCATTAGGATATATTAAAAATAATATTCAAAGATGGAAGCTTGAAAATGTATATAGTAGTCGGATTCCACTTTGGTTAAAAGTTGGCCTACATTAGAAGTACATTCTGTGATAAGTTTTATTACAATAACTTCGCTGATTTTTGAAAATAAAAGAATCTGGTTGAATTTAAAATTGTTTCATATGGAAGTAGGTTAGATAAGGGTTAAATTCCGATTTCTAACCAAATACGATATTTCAAAGTATATATGTACTGAAGCCGCATCTGCAAATCAATTTCCGCAAAATAATTATTTCGGTGATTCTTTCCAAGACACTCTGCTTCTGCTTTCCACTGTCAGCGATTATTGTTGTAATTGTTCTCCAAAACAAACATATCTATCACTTATATCAATGTATCATGCGTACGAATGTCTGCGCTTTTCAATTTACTGATGACTCTCGGCTTTCACAAATGTTTACCAACTGCTTCTTAGCAATTTCCTTAACGTTTTGCCATCTCCTTCATTGCTAATGCTTTCAGTATAGCGAGCAGTTTAAGTTAGTACGTATGTATGTATGTATCAAATCTTCTTTATTCAAGCATTGTAACGGAAATTGTTTTCACTTGTCATTTTAATCGCATTTACTTGACCCAATGCTTTCTCCTTGGAAATTCCTTCATYCATACGCGTCCATTCAATTGAACTTTCAACATTTCCATACAATACCTTGAATTGCTCTAAACAATGCGAAATTGTATTGCTTTTGYCGATTTGTATTTGAATTGATGAGATTTTCATTTTACTAGCCTGTTTCTCTAATAAGTATGGCAAAGGATTTTTTACCGTTATTACATGTTTCCTTTTTTCGTTGTGGGTATTTGTTTTTCATCCATTTTTATTGTTTCCTTTTTTATCTCATTTTAATTTTATTGCTGTTGCCAAGATTGAATTTTTGCAGAGGCAACAAGCCTTTGTCCTCGTAAGGCCTTAACCATACTGCTTAAGTTTTGTCAGTCGCCACGCAGACCCTTAAGGAGTCGGCAAACATGTGGTTAGAGATTTGAGAAAGTGATTTTTATGAGGTTCTTATAAATCACTGCTGCCGCACACATACCATATATACTGTACAATAATTCATATGCATATTAATTGACACTTGCAAGTGGGTGTAGACGGTCATGTTATTTATGTTGGCAATTTTTTATTAAGGTTTTATTGATCTTGTGGCAATTTGTTTTATGCGTTTCTTTCAGAGCCTTCCTTCTTTTTATTAGAATTTATYATGCTTAATCTAGAGTGTTCCAACGGTCATTTCTTGTTGCTATTGTTGCTTCGTTTAATGCCTAAGTGTTGGCATGTCTTCCTCCTGCTTTCATAATTTTGCAATTTTTATGCTTTTAACGGAATTTTAATGCACAATAAATAAGACAATTAAGCTGCGGCGATGTCACTGTATTGTACTTTTATGGGTCACTTGGTGCAATGGTGTTTGTAATGTTGCAAATTAATATATATAATATATAATAACATGCTCTTCGAATAAGAAATTAATGGAATCTTTTCAGAGATGAAGAATTTTGGACTCATTTCGAAGTAATGACTTAGTCTATGATAATTCTAAACTTTAACTATATAACTTAAAATTAGCAAAAAATTGTTCCAAAACTAATTGTTAATATTCTGATYATAAATCAATAAGGCTTTTACTTTCGATAGGAAGATATCACTATCRAGTTCTGTAAAATCAAATCCAAAAACTTGCCTAAAAAAGACACTGCTCGGCTCATTTTGTACTCACATATTTGCCGCACTCGCACTTTAAAATCCATTCAACWGCAATGAACTTATTTTCGATTTGTATTTGATGTGATTGCAGGAATTCCTGATCGATTGGCTCCAGCGACACTGTGTCCCAGAGTGGCARTGGCGCTTGGCCTTTCGGCGGCTGCTGTTGTTCGGCAATGCTGATGGGATCCCCAGCGTTCAATGGACACAGCAGCTCCACCTTTGTAAGCAAATAAAGCAAAATTTATTATTTTTTTACATTTTCCCCAGTTATTTTATTAAAAGTTTGTTGTAAATTTTTGCTAACGAAAGTTTTTCACTTTGTGCGCTCCTAATGACTAAGAGCAAATGCAAATGCATTACGTAACGAATTGATTGCTAAAGTTTTAGAGCCAATGTGTGTTTATGTTCCACCTACATTTTGTTGTTTCCTGTAGTTKTAGTTAAAATCATCGACTGTATTAATGKACATTATTTAGACGAGTATTTAATTTGAAAAGTTTGGTTAGACAGTTTGTTTTTTATACTATGTAGTAATGGTAATGAGAATGACTTTTTCGTGTTCTTCCGTTGTCCGAAGTACATACATTGAGCTTTTAAAAAATTAGTCTACTTATTAGTAACATTTATAATTTATAAATGAGTACTAGTAGGTTTTTTTAATTTTGTTGCAATTTATCGAACACTCAAATTTGCTTTTAGTCAGTGGAAAACCCCTGGCACATTATACCTGTATAGTTGTTGAGACCGATGGCCGACAGCATTTGCCTGAATGCTGATGACAAAGTCCGCAAAGTTTCGGCCGATAAAGCTTTCGTGAAATGCAAGCGCCCAAACGTATGCGTGCCGGTCCGAGRCGTTGTAAGCTGCGGCACTCGTGTCCTTTCTGTGAATGAAAAKTTTTGCGTAAATTAATTCGAAATTTGAGAAAGCATTTATATTGTTCATTCTTTCATTCATTAATGCCATAAAAAATACAAATTGAAAGATATTTTGGCTCATGGTATTTTACTAAGGAATGTTGAGTTTTCTCCAAGACTCTTTAAATAAGCCGAAAAGTTCCAGTGTGACTGTGTTATCTCGCATTTGACATGGAATATGTTTTGGAATGAAGTTACCGTTTGGTGAACATTGTTCAAGTAGTCGGGGTATTCTGCCACAAGAGTATCCAAGGATGCCACTTTGCAGTAATGGCTGGCAGGTTAAGGCCGAGGCTGCTTTCGTCTCGTTGAAACCCTGACAGACATCGGTTATCGTGATAGATGTTGATTAGTGTTGAGGAGTCCTCCTCTTTGGGCTGGTCATCTCTGAACACTTTGCCGTATAAGGGCAATCTCTCCTAAAAGAGATTAACTTGCGACAATTAAGGGCAACTACCTTTCGAGAGATGGATAACGGCTCTGAGTGAGACGTTGAAGATAAATCTTGACAATCAAACGGTCGTGGGTAGAATTTGGTTTGAACCKATCTCAAACACGGACAGTGTTCTGGGTGAGTCACTGACTGGGGCGACGAAATCTTACTTCGCTAAAGATACTACAAACACCTTTGAAATTTCGGCTACTGCAAGTGRATGGTAAACTACTGGGAGTCAGGAGAAAGGAACAAACTCAAAATGTAAGTAGGGATGATGTGCAAGGTGGAATTGCTAGCAACAGCAGRGCAGCTACTGCTAAGCTTACTCATGTTTGGGATTTTGGAAATATCTGGGGTTAAGGAAGCAGGCGTCGCCAACAARTTAATTGAAGTTTTTGGAAGGAATTTTATTTAGGGATGAAGGCAAATCAGTTTCAGCTTAAAGGTACTAATTTACTTTAAAGCTACTTTTAAAGTATAAAGTAATGAATATTTCAACTAAATCAATGAAAATTTTCCATAAAAGGAAAGAGGAAGAAAACCAGAAATGCAAGACGAAAACAGACAAGATGTGACAGCTTAAACCACTTTGTTTTCGCAGAGGCATAAACTTAATTCCGGCAGAGGGAGAATATAAAACTTTCATCAAAGCTTAAAGTACACGAACATATACAAACATACGAAGTTGTATACTTATGTATACATAAGTCCAAAGCCATTCAAAGAATCTAGTAAATATATAYCTGTGTGYAAACATGTTTGCTGGTAATAAAGTGGAAAGATTTTGAGATTTTTAAGCTGTTGGTGWGTGGCAAGTAGAACAATGACACGCTGGAGTCGAGGCGCACTGCTATGCYGGGATTATGGCGGCAGCGGAAGTGCTCGTAAGCATATAATAAATGTATGTTTGTCAGTAAGTAAGTACTATTTGTCTCTTTTCGGAAATTCAATTGTCTGCTTTGGGTCGTTAGTTTGCGGTTTCCTTTGTTATTCTGATTATTGTTGTTGTTTGTTTGTTTGGATTTGCAAGTTTAGTTTTAAATTAAAAAATAAGAAAATAAATAAAATACAAAAGAAGTGAACAGGGGGAAAGTTGAGAACAAACATGCGAAAGTTCGAAACAGTGGCGGCTAATGCAGATTACTAAAGTAACCACAAAAGCAAAAAAATATATAATATTTACATTTTTTTATGGTTAACAAAACCGTTTTTTATGCTCGCAACACTTTTTGAAAGCAAACTAATCAAAGCCGCTTCCAGCTCATTGTTTCGCAACTTACGCGTATTCGATGCTCCTCATGCGCCGCGAACAATGTGGCATGGTAATCTGCTATATCCTTAATATCCTTAGGCTCACTTACAACTAAATTGTTTGCCACATTATGGCTAATTAATTGKTTTTGTTGCTGATGCTGCTCTGCGTGCGCATGCTTTWGCGGCTGTTGTTGTTGCTGCTGTTGTGCTGTGGCATTTTGCACCAACAGCTGCGCCTCTTGTGGCGGTAGTAAATAGTTTTTGTTGTTGTTGCTGCTGTTGTTATTGTCCTGATCACATTTGCGATTTTCACACAATCGCAAGCTGCTCAATTGCCGGCAGCCAGCGTTCGTGCTGGCGAAGCGCGTCGAAATGCCAAGGCCACAGGGTTGCGAACACGGCGTCCACGGACTGGTCGAGGCATTGTGGCAGGTGGCGTATACTGCAAAGAAATATGCATAAACAAAAAATGAAATAGCAACAAAATGAGTCTTTAAGTACAATGTAATTAAATTTAATTTAGTCATTAAGCGGCAGCGTGGGAAGGCTCATTGTTTAACTAGCATTTTGCAGCATACAAGTTTATGAGTACCAGTTTTATATTAGGTATAGAATAGATGTCATTTGGTTAGGGCGCGTCTTTAATGTACAATGAAAATTCAATGCGACCGAGCAAGTTTATTATAACTTTTCTGAAGGCTTGAATCGGTTTGCTATTTGAGCCGTCGAAACTATGTGGAGAATGATTCTTTCTCATTTTACAGCTTGTAAGAAATCTAGCTGAGGTCAGTTGAGTGCTGGTTAGTTAAAAACTCTTTCGGAACATTTGAAGAAACGGAAAATTACATATTTCTTATCACGTTTGCTTAATTATCTCAAGGATTTCAGTTTAATGTTTATTACACAAAAATATTACGGTTTATACTCTGGGCTGAAATTAAAGCTACAAGGAACTATTTAGTTTTAAAAGACTAGATCCAAAATMTGATACTCTATTCTATAACAAAAATAAAATCTCTATTGTAAATAGATGTATTTCCGCTAATACCCAGGCGGCAATTGAGGCAATAATCTCACTTCGCATTACGGCAGAGAATGTCCTTAGAAGCAGGGTCGAAAAAGATGTAGCGGCAATGTGGGAGTATAGGAGATACTGAATTTTACGGAAGAGCTGACATATAAGTACATAGGATTTTCACAGTTGAAGAGATTAGACAAAGCATCGAAATTAGATATCAAGTTCGCAAAAAAAAAACGTCCTGAAAAACGAAAAACAAAAAAAATTAATTTGAACATCCATCTGKTATTACTAAGGATAAGTAGGTCTATGAAACCTATGTTAGGTTGAGAACAGTGCGATTTTGGGATTATAGAAAAAATAAAAATTTTAAAATTCTTTTTGACCAATCAAATGTGTTGAATGAGAATAAATTATCCTAGAAATAATTTTTAAAAATTAAACAATTGTTTAATATTCGCATACACAAACGAACATTTCTATCTAACACCGAAAATGTTGACCACTTTCTATATCAACGAGCGTAGGCTCAATACGGGTTGCAGCATAAATTCCATGTCAAAATTTATCTTTAACAGGACCATTAAACAATTTCGCATGTTGGTCAATGTAAGACCCCTTTTAAAAAATGTAAAACGTAACATTCTAAGTGGCAAGCAAAGAAGCTATTGACCATGCACTTCACAACCGTATTTCACTCTTATGCCTTTAATAATTCCTACTTCTTTCGTTTATTTCCTGCTTTTATCACAAGGCAATGTTTCATTGCCTTATCCTTGCATGAGTAATTACGTCTCCTTTATCATTGCCTCGACCATCCTACACACGTTCACCCGCTCCCACACACGCGCACTGCCAACGTGAGCCGCTTTGTCTTGCCGAAAATTGCTTGCATGTGCCTTGTGCTCATAAATATTTCTTGTTAATTCGCCTTAAAAATCATTAAGTTTCACAGCCGCAGGCACTGCCACAGCCACAGCCCTGGCACCTTGGTCAACATGCCGCCCACTCGACTGTGGTCGGCCAGTAGCTTGCCTCAAGCTGTCGGCTGCGCTGCTGTGTTTCTGTTGCGCCTACAATGGGCAATGCCTTGGCGTTTACTTARCCAATGGTCATGGCAAATGAATATTACTAGACTGCAGACAAGGCTGAGTACATTCTTCTCGTTGTTCGTCTTGTTTCTTTTATTTGAACAAGTGCGATTCCTTGCCGAAAAGCCGGAGCACGACGCAAAGGCACGYGCTGCGTTGGATGTAATCACCACTTATGCAAGTAAATATGATTTATACTGAGAGAAATTGTTGAATATCGAGAAAAATTATTAGCATCGAATGACAGAAATAGGCACTTTAAGACTTGGTGAGGTTATACGTATATGTGAAAACTGTGTTTGGTGAGTTGAGAAGAAGGCTTGTCTATACAAAAGTTTGATAAGAGGTAAATGTAGCTAAGTTTAGCATAGGTGCTTAATATTTCTCTAATATGGCGTCCTACACTTTCACTGCCGAGATGTTTGCGAACCAGGAGCCGAAACCGATATTAGCCGTCTTGGGTGGAAGCACGAACAGCTTTGTCGAGTTATAAGGGTCTTTATGATTATTATAAAAGATGTTCAGGTATCACAATGGATCGGGCTGATTGTGATATTGGATTGAAGATTGTAATAGAGTTTTTCTTTTAACCTTACCTTACCTATGTATTAGATTATGCTAAAAGTAAACAATAAATTTCGGTCTGTATTTTACAGAGCGTTTCTCTCGTTTCTTTCATATGGCGAAAATTATCTACGATATTATTCTGAGAATTTACTCATTGATATTTAAAGTCCAAGTATGCCATGCAGTGCTTAGTTTTTTGAGTATATATTTTTCTTCAAATGAATGAAGTCAGAGTTCTTATTTAATTCATTTTCTTCATGTAATTGCTATGAACGGGATAGTATCTGGTGCAATGCAGGTAACAAAARCCATACCTTACAAATTGTTTTTAACATATCCTCATATATCGATTGGCCAATGATATGAATGCCTTAGCAATTTTTATTGAAAAGTTTTTTTTTTTCAGAAAAATTTACCTTGTAGATTTGAGGGATCAAATATGTTAGACGTTGCTATATTATTTTTCGCTTTGCTCCTGGCTCATTGAATATAACATTTAATATACTCTTTTTCAGCATATAACTGACTTTCTGATTGTGGGACCTTCTAAAAGAGAAGTTTAGGTTAAATTCGCCAGGTTTTCCTCCCTGCTTGCCAAAACAAACTTATTTTCATACTTCCATATTAAAAAGAGATTAAATTTCAAACATAGCTAAAGAGAATTTTTTACAATGTACCACCTTCTATGAACATTGCCTCCACAACCCACAAAGTACTCACCATCAGCTGTGGGATTCTCACACAGCCACATTTTACAGCAGTGTTCCGGCACCTCCACCAGGCGAGGCGATCTGCAGGAAATCGTGTCCTCCGGCGCTGGCAATTGCTCCTTCGGACAGAGCGACGAGCAGGCATGACGTCCGTTCTGCAAAAGTGGAAAACAACGGAAGCTCTTAAAGTCTGCAGACGAACGAAAGCAATTGCAGGATGTAAAACAAAGAGAAATAATAATAATAAGGAAACACAATAATTATCTCACGCAGGCAGTAATGAGAAAATAGTGAAATGTTGAAAAAGCACAGTGGAAAAAGTGAAAAAACAAGGTTACGAGTGCGGGTATAGGCAAATAAATAAATTCTCTTTGCGCTGAAACAAAGAAATTTCGCAATGGACGCGCACACAACAGCTACGTATGAATTTGTGTATGTGTGTGCATGAGTATGTTTTGTGTGTAATGCGAAAAAATGGGAAATAAGTCGTGTATAATGCGTAAATAGGAGAATTACATTAAAAATATAAATTCTGCATTGCCAGCGGGGGTTAAAGTCACCGGAGAATTAAGAGGAAAGTGCGGTGGCTGCCACATACGCTGCCACATATGCTATATAGATTTGGGAAAAGTTGTCCAGAGAGACAAATTTAGTATTATATACAATCAGTGGTTGCGGATATGTTATAATTCAAGGCATATACAACAGCGTCTRTCAATCGGATGGTTTTGACAGCTCGTGGCGGCCGTTTCTGTTCACGGATTTATGTTAAATTTTATCAGTGTTTTCAGTAAGATTTGGCATTTCATAATGTCACGATTCACTTTAATATAATCCCTAGAAACTGTTCAAGAATAATGTTATTTGATTGCTACTTCAAAACATGGTTTACTCATGTGAGACCCATTTCTAGCTTAATGTCTTCGTGAAAAAAAAAAGTTTGTTATTGGGGTGAGTCAAGTTCTCTTTAAATCCGAAAAATGGCTCCGTTAATTGGCTGGCAGGATCATGAAGTTTAACACCTCTAGATTATTTTATCTAGTGGAATATTAAATCGAAACTTTACGCCGATCAAGCAGTAATGCTCGAGGATTTCGAGATAACATTCAGCGCGCTATCCCCGAAATGCTGCATTGAGTCATCGAAACAAGTGGAGATATGAAAACGAAGCGGTGGTGGACATTTGGCCGGCAGTTTGGTGAAGTCATAAATGGCTGAAAAAACTCAGAAAAAAAACTCAGGCGCTCAGAGCAGTTGTTTCGCATGCAAGGATTAATAATTAAGAAATCTTGTTCACAGACATGACACAAAATGCTTGACATTTATCTGTTAGTCAACAGGTAGACGTATCGGTTAACAGTCGTATAGAAATGAAAAGTTTAATTCAAGAACGTCTCTGAATTCGAATACATTTTTCAAAATAAAATAGGACGTACATATATGTGCATGTATGTGCATGTGGCTGAATGAATGGTAATTGCTGAATCTCATTGGTCAGCCAGAGTGGCTAATCGAAATTTGCAATCAGTTGGCAAAATATAATTTCAAGTTAATTGAAAATGTCTGTTCACGAGCAACAACATTAACAACAGCCTCTGTCCACAGGCCTCTACTTTAGCAATGCTAAGTGTGCTGACAGCGATCTGATACTGGAAGTGCCGCTGCTAATGCTAAATGACAGGCCGTCTAATGTGTGGCAATTCCAAGAAATAAACTCATCAATATGCATGGATTCATACACAAGCACACGGGCCGTCAAATAACTATTTATTCAAATGAACTGTTGTGTTTCTTATTTATTGAATGCAGTTGCTTCGTTCCTTCGTTGCTTGTCGCACGTGTTGCAATATTGCTTGCCAATTTAGAAACGTGTTGCCTGCTCAAATTGCCACTCAAAAGCAGACACAAACGCCAAGGACGTACATATACAGCTAGGTTGGTATTTTTTCATTACCCTGATAGAATTTAACCATTTCTCAATTGAATACAATTTTATTTTCCATGGCGTTATACACCTGTAATACTCGCCTGCACTTTTTCTATCAAAGCTTCGTCTCGAACTCCTCATTTCATCATGCCAGGTAAATCCTATTGCTACATAAATTCAATTTACTCTAATACGCTTTGGCATTTGTTGCATTGACGGTGTGGCATAAAATACTTCACATACAAGTACATATATCTATATAAAAACGTGTGCACTTTCATTACTCGTGTACTGGGAACATATGCTTGTATGAATAGAGTGGCGAATTATTTGTAGTTTTCATAGAAGTGTCCTTTTAGGACAAGTTTTCGCTATTTCGACTTTAGTAGGTTTTTCGATATAGCTTGCTACGGGATAGCTGGTCGTACTTACGTTAACTAAAGCCAGAATCCAAGTACTTGATTCCGATTGTTCAGTTTGTACGGCAGCTATATGGCATAATGCGCCGATATTGGTCGTTTCCACAAATGAGTAGCTTCTTGGTGAAAAAAGGACAAGTGCAAAGTTTCGAATGTTAGAAAACGGCTACAGWACGATTGGCCCAAAGCCTTCAAATACAGTCGAGACATCGTTAAAGACATACGATGGTGGGAGAGGTCGACATCTCGCGAGTTCGTTCGAACATTTTGATGGATATTTCGAATACGAAACGCCTCCTTCTTCAAGTCGACGCGATAAAGCTGGCATTTTTTTTCAAAAAGAGTACCGTTAATAGATCTCTTAGGACATGCTTGATTGTGCGAATTTCGATCCGGCCGATGAGCCATGTGTTTATGGATTTGACTTGCAAACAAGTCGACAATCATCGGAAATAAACCCGTTTTCAGTCGATCGAAGAGATAAAGCAAAATTCGTCGAAGGAGCTGAAAGCCATCCCAARGAGTGCTTATGGGGACACAAGTGCAGTACATCTGATAGGGATTACTTTGAAGGCGACAAACCTTCGATGTTTCCTTTTGGGTGTTACAAACTTCGTACGGTCGAAAGCCTTTCTTTTTTAAAGAATAAGTGTATACAATCCCTTAATAAATTAAATAAGTACAAATAATCCAGGATGYGAATACTTCCTTAGAGGCTGTTGATTTTTCCTACAGGGCCCTTACAAACTATATACAAAATAAAAATAAAAAATTTATATATCTATTTGTAGARGAAATTGTTAGATAAAAAATCAGAGACAGAATAATCAAAACAAGAAAAAGCAGAAGCAAATGGAAAGAAGTGTAGGAAATAAAGGACAGTGTATAGGCTTATGTGTGTGTGTGTTTGAGTAAATTTGAACACAAATAGACAAATATATAAATTTGCACATATGCCCCGACTAAGCATGTGTCGGAGCGGCCAAAATTGGCACGTGCAACAACGCTTTGTCGTACAACTACAACTGCATCGGAGCGCTTAACTCGCTCATATCTCTCGTACACTTACGCCACCTCTTCCTTTTGTCAACTTACCTCACAGACACACTGTGTTTTACAATCCAATTTAAATGTCTGTCCATGTGCATATGTTGTATTGCCAACCGTACAGTTAGCTGCAGCATGTTGCACAGATGTTGCAACAAACACAGRATGGCCACAAGTCGGGTTGCCAGCAAAAATGGTGTTGATATGTTGATGACGTTGATGCGATTGCGTTGCGGGCGGCACAGTTCAGGCGATTCAGGCCAGTTGTTGAGTGGGAGAAAAAAAAAAGAGAAGAAGAGAGAAAATTGAGGAAATTTATAGCACCAAATGAAGATATATGCAATTGAAAATATTGTTGTTTTTCCTTTTTGATTTTGTGTGCATTTTGCTCGATTTAAAACTTTACTATGTTTACAGTGTTGCCAGTGTGTTTGATAACATAAGCCAACAGAGGAATCGGCAAACCAACGCAAATAGCTGTTGGCCACTGTTGCTGCATTGTTGTTGTGTTGTTGCTTTGTTGCTAAACTCAAATGAAACGAAATAGATTGAAATTGTATGGCAGTTGTCTTTGTTGCACTGCTTCCTTATTTATCCATTCGTACATGTGTAAGTTGGCTGCGCATGGCTTGGAGCCCCACAAGCGGTGCTCCATTATTTATCACATCGCCCTGTCAAGGGAGTTGTGTGGAGTGAGTTTGTTTTAGTTTTAGTGCTCAAATGTTCGTATATGTAGTAAAATAGAATTGCAAGAGGAACTAAATATACATATATTATATATATAATATTTATTTTTCTGGATGTGTCTATACTTTGTATGTAAGTAAAAAGTTTTCTATTTATTTATGTACTCAGTACACAGAAGACTGTGCCAGTGCAAAACTTTTGCCACATTAAGTGCCACATTTTAGAATAATTTATTTTAAATACCTACATGCCAATACTTAATAATTATAAATATACACTACTTCGTACCTGTCTCTTATACACATCTAGATGTGTATAAGAGACAGGTACACAGAAGACTGTGCCAGTGCAAAACTTTTGCCACATTAAGTGCCACATTTTAGAATAATTTATTTTAAATACCTACATGCCAATACTTAATAATTATAAATATACACTACTTCGTACTAAGCATAAAACACAAAGTTATTGAAACCTAAGAATGTGATGCTTACTGCCAGATACAAAAAAAATTTTAACAACTGAACAAGAAAAACCTTAATTTCGGCATAACCTTAGCTATCAGATGCTTCAGGCGCATTTATTAGAGCATACGGCATAACGTTATTGCATCCCTAGTTTGATTGGTCAGTTTATATGGAAGCTGCAGCTGAGTGATTCCATCTTGGCGCTACCGACAAATGAGAACTTTAAGGCATCTTAAAAGCTGAGAACTTGGCTTTGTAATTTTATTAGGATATAATTTGATCTAAATTTTTTTTATTGCTCTTCAACATACTGCTTAGTTCCATGTTCTCACTTTGATTGTATCACTGAAAACTTGGACCGCGGGGTCTTCTCCGCGCATATATCTCCAACAGCTATGTGGGTATGGCGCAGCCGCTGGAGAAGAGGCGCATTGAACTATTGGACTGAAGCTCAAGGAAAGGCTGGAGCTACAGTCCTTGTCGGGAGCTTTCAATGAGTCTTGTTTGAGATTGGCAGACCAAGGAGAACTGTGAGCTCACTGTCAGTAGTGTGAATGTCCTCACAAGCGGTGGCATCAAGCACTTCTATCTAAAGAGCATGACCACAGAGGAGTTGCCGAAAATTTTATAGCCGATGAGCTTGCAAGAAGAGACATTAGTCAGGATGGGAACGAGCATTGTGAGCTCAGCAAACGAAAGCCTTCTGTCTATTGTTGTTTGCAGCTTCCCGGTTGCCATACTTTTTACGTTTCCGGCTAATTGGATGGAGCTAATATTATAGACAGGCGTCTCTGACTTTCAAGTGAGATTATTATTTCTATTTCAAAGAAGTATATTTGCATTATATAGTCTGCAGAAAATTTCTAAAGGTAAATGCTTCTCTGTCAATTTCAAATTCTCTGTGCCGTTATCAAGTCTGATTACTGTTTAGAGCCTGCTATTGTAAGCAATATCTATCCATTCGGACATAGTTGGCTCACTTATTAGCACCTAAATCTATTTAGAGTTATAGGATTAAAGAAGTGCATACCGTTGAGTTACCGTTGCAAGCAAATGTATTTAGCTATAATCTGTTTGAAACTTTTCGAGCTTTTCCTGTACAAGTGCTTAACTGCTGCTTAACTCTGAAACACACACACACATGTGCGACTTTAAGTTGGCTGCTTTTTAGCCAGTGCTGCATTCACCCCTTCTGCTTTCTGTCTTTTGTGCAGATTTTGCACTTTTTCCATTTTCTGTTTTAGTCAAAGTTTAATGCGCGTTTAATTAAGCACAAGTGTAAGTCACACTAAATACTTTTTAAGTACCCTGTCACTTTATGTACACAGTCAACTAGTGTTTTGAAAAAATGAAAAACAACAAAAACTGTTTAAAAATTATGGAATAAAGTTGAGTAAATGGTTGTTTGTTGTAACCACTGCCTGTGATTTTATAATTTCATAGCGTTGAGTTGGAGTGCAGCACGCTCAGGGGAAATAGTATATTAAGCAAAATTATAACTCTAATGCTGGAGAATACATTACCCTGCCAAATTTTCAATAGGCTTGCTAAATTTCCGCAAAATTCTCAAAATTATGTCACTTATTCCGAAACAAACAGCATTAATCTAAGAGAAAATCATTAAAATAAATTGAAAATAGTTTAAGCCTATGCATAACTAATACAGAAACAACTCAGAAATTAAAAAAAGCACTTGAAACGAGAATACTTTCATATACCTACTCACCTCCATGAGCGTAATATTTGTCATATGACGCGACACCACCAGGTCCGGCTCTGTGTATTTGTCATTTTGCACGTATAATCAATAATTTGCCATTTTACCATTATGCTTTGCGAAATTGAATAGCTGAAAATCTCATTACGCTAATGCCCATAAATTTGGTTTATTTGGTTTGCCATTTCAACAGTCGACAGGGCGTATGCGTAACTAATGTGCAGCATGAAATACATTCAACTCTATGCACATCACATTCACTCACTCACATGTGTGTGCATGTGTGCGTGTGCAGGCACTTACATTGCGCAATCTGCAATATTCTCGCATGCGCTTGTCATTGCCGGTCAAAGCGACATTTGCCGACACCTTCGCCTGCTCACTGCTCTTCCACACGCTATGGTATACACAAAAACTGAGACTTTTAGATGCGCATGTGGGTGTGTGTGTGTGTGTGTGCAATGGCATAGCTTAACGCTTACTTCAACAAATGTGCAATTTTCCAAATGCATGCCAAAGGTCTTTTCTAACCAATTACTTTCACCTTTCTTGTTTTTGTCGGTTTTATTCTWTTTCGCTTTCTTTCTGCCATTTGCGGTGCTTTCACAGACACACCGCACACATACACACGTGTATATTTATCGGTGTATATGGTTGGCAATATGTCAAGGTAAAATATTATTACTTCAAAATCTATATGCATTTGCTTTTAAGTAAAAATAGTTTTGATATGAGATTGTACTTGGTAGTGCTTTTAAGAGAGCGTGAGAGGCCGCTAAAGGATTCCGAATTCAAAGGATCCATAGGAAATTGTAGGGCATTTTGCGTGAAATCTAGTCTAATGTATTGAACTGAAGATCTTAGTGTACAAAGTGAGAAAAAATGTTTTAGTATTATTAATTGTGACTATAGTACTGTAATTTCAAAAATTCGATTATGAACAAAAACAAAAAAAAAAAAAAAATAATAATAATAATAACTTTTGTGATTTTTAACAAAACACAAAAAACAAAATATTTTCAAAATAGTAATAATAAAAATAATAATAATTACTTGGTTCAGTTAAGTTTATATGTTTTCATTTCTAATAATTCATATTTTTTGTCAATTTTCAAACTCCTAAGTACTTATTATTTCCACATAATATCCCAAATCAGAAATTAGAAGGGAATGCTAGTATTGCAACACAAAATATGCCAACCCACTCGCATTATTATTATTATAGCCAGCATTACGAACACCCGCTATTTGTTTTTATAAACCCAAAGTGAAAATAACGTAGTTTTAAGTATTAAGCAGAAAACCTTTTTAACTTTACACCAAGCGAAGCCATTATCCTTTTYGGCTGGCTTCTCACATCTATCCTAATACACGTATCATATATAAGTATAACTGACACGGCATGCTACCCTCCCATTTTCTGTGCCAAGCAGACAGAAATATGTGCTCCGTATGAGTTCCTCATACTCGTGGCTTCACTCAACCATTACCTTATTGGCATTTCATATTTTTTTCTTAACCATTTCCATCTTTCTCTATTCCACTCATGCCATGCCGTGCATGCAGTTTCACATAAGTTTTCGAGTTGATTTTTCGCCTTCGCTTTTTGTCTAAGCTTTAGTTCACTACTTGTTCTGGCTAGTTGACTTACTGCCTGCTTGGCTGGCTGCCACTTACACTATTACACAAATAGACTTCCGTTGACATTGACATGTCATGCCCATCATGAGTGGTGAGTACATTGAGGTAACTGTACAAAACAAAAAAATAATAAACGAGAAGAGAAAGGAAAATATTCAACCACTCGAGCCTCGTATGGCTGCCGCATATATCCGGTGCAAAAAGCAGTCTTTTAAARGTACAGTTATTTATGTGTAGTTATGTGGGTACATTTTTTCACAACTTAATATTAATGTATGTAGAAGGTCTTTTATACACATGCGCTAGCAAATAGCTGCCTACTTACATATATATTAACATTTTGTTTAAAGTGTAGGCAGCACTTATTGGCACTCAAAAACACTACGAAACATGCAAGGCATTTAAAGATAACGGACTTGCTTTTATGTAAATAAGTCACGAGTACTTTTAACTAACCGAACGGGCCTGAACACGCTTTTCTGGTTAAACATTTTCATGTGGGTGCAGTGCGTATGAGTAACTTTGAAAATAAATGTTTGCTTCTTAYTCATTTTAGAGTGTGAAATATTTATAAAATAGGAATCTATAAAAGGGTTGTTGGATTAAAATTCATAAA